AGTTAGTTAGTTAGTTAGTTAGTTAGTTAGTTAGTTAGTTAGTTAGTTAGTAGTAGTTAGTTAGTTAGTTAGTTAGTTAGTTAGTTAGTTAGTTAGTTAGTTAGTTAGTTAGTTAGTTAGTTAGTTAGTAGTTAGTTAGTTAGTTAGTTAGTTAGTTAGTTAGTTAGTTAGTTAGTTAGTAGTAGTTAGTAGTTAGTTAGTTAGTAGTTAGTTAGTTAGTAGTTAGTTAGTTAGTTAGTTAGTTAGTTAGTAGTTAGTTAGTTAGTTAGTTAGTTTAGTTAGTTGGTTGGTTAGTTAGTTAGTAGTTAGTTAGTTAGTTAGTAGTTAGTTAGTTAGTTAGTTAGTTAGTAGTTAGTTAGTTAGTTAGTTAGTTAGTTAGTTACTTAGATATTTTTTTTAGAAATTTTCGATCAATTTTATTTTAAAAAAATCAATTGTTATAACAATATATTTATTAAAATAATAAGAATAAGGAATTTTTTAACAATACTTTATTAAATTTCTCAATCAGCCCTATAACTATTTCATTCACTATAATCCTTACTCATATAATAGCCTAGATCATCAAAATAGATTTTTGTTTTAAAGTCTCATACATCATACAAAATAAAACAAAAAAAAACCGAAAATCTCTTAATTTAATACGCTCCGGGCGTAAAAAACACTACAACTAAACCATGTTTAACAACTTCTGATGGAAAATGACATAACATTTTAATCCGAACCTCCATAACACTCAAAAAGCTAATAAGTAACATACATTTCTTTTTGTAACCATTTCTTCTTTCTTTCTCGGATTAAATTAAAAAAAGATAAAAACTGAAAGCGAAAGTTTTACACAAGATTTCAAAGAAATTAAAAACATAATGTAAAATGTGTGTTTTGTTTTTTTCATAACAAATTGGGATTTTAATTAATTACTTTACCAAATCATATGTTTTTGATTTGGTAAAGTAAAAAAAAACTATAAAAATTAATAATAAATAACCATAAATGTTAAAATTTTAATAAGTTTTTTTAAAGTGAATCTTATTGGAAATTATGTAAACTTTTCTAATTTTTCAATTTTATAAAAATCAATCAAACTCTCAAAAGGGGGCCTTAAAACTGGCGGTGTTCAAAAATTAACATTTGTTGTTACGTTCAACGAACTTGTTGCTATAAGATTTCTTTTGTTTTAAATTAATTGTTAAATGATTAATTGTTTTCCGTTAATTGTGAGGTGTAAAAAATATTATTAAAAGATAGGTTCTTTCTGTTGTGTTTTTGAATAATCTTTTTTTTCTCTTTCTTAAGCTTTTAAATATGAAAGAAGTCACAGCACTGCCGCTTCTAGCAGCTCTTCTAAATATAATGTAGAACATATGCCGGCTAGCACAGAATCCCAAGCATTAAAGGAGGCTCAGAATAAATACAAACTATTAGAAGCCGATTACAAGTCACTGCATGAGAAACGTTTACAAGATGTAAGTATTTATTTTTAGTATTCTTTCCAATTTCAGAGAGTTCAAGTCAGAGTAAAGTAACTCTCGATATAAAATCCAAAACAAGTGAGTCATACTGATCTGGGGTCTGTTGTGACATTTTATTAGTATTCTAATCTCTTTATATCTTCTTCCAAAAATGTACCTATAAAATGTGTTTACTGTGTCTTAACTATCGGAACTAGACTGTAGTCTAGACTAGACTATAGACTAGACTATAGACAAGATTATAGACAAGACTATAGACTAGACTATACCCAAGACTATAGACTAGACTATAGACTAGACTATAGACTAGACTATAGACTACACTATAGACTAGACTATAGACTAAACTATAGACTAGTCTATAGACTAGAATATAGACTAGACTATAGACTACACTATAGACTAGACTATAGACTAAACTATAGACTAGTCTATAGTCTAGAATATAGACTAGACTATAGACTAGACTATAGACTAGACTATAGACTAGACTATAGACTAGACTATAGACTAGACTATAGACTAGACCATAGACTAGACTATAGACTTGACTATAGACTAGACCATAGACTAGATTATAGACTAGACTATAGCCTAGACTAAAGACTAGACTATTGACTTAACTACAGACTAGACTATGGACTGACTATCGACTATACTATAGACTGGACTATAGACTGGACTATAGACTGGACTCTAGACTGGACTATAGACTAGACTATAGACTAGACTATAGACTAGACTATAGACTAGACTATAGACTAGACTATACTAGACTATACTAGACTATACTAGACTATACTAGACTATAGACTAGACTATAGACTAGACTATAGACTAGGACTATAGACTAGACTATAGACTAGACTATAGACTAGACTATAGACTAGACATGAGACTAGACTATAGACTAGACTACAGACTAGACTATAGACTAATCTATAGACTAGACTATAGACTAGACTATAGGACCAGACTATAGACTAGACTATAGACTAGAACTAGAGACTAGATATAGAACTAGACTATAGAATAGACTATAGACTAGACTATAGAACTAGAACTTAAGACTAGACTATAGACTAGACTATAGACTAGACTATAGACTAGACTAGAGACTAGACGATAGACTAGCACTATAGACCTAGACTATAGACTAGCTATAGACTAACATAGACTAGACTATAGACTAGACTATAGACTAGACTATAGACTAGACTATAGACTAACTACATAGACTAACTATGACTAGACTATAGACAAGACTTAGACGAGACTATAGACTAGACTATAGACTAGAACTATAGACTAACTATAGACTAGACTATAGACTAGACTATCACGAAACTAGACTATAGACTAGACTATAGACTAGACTATAGACTAGACTATAGACTAGACTATAGACTAGACTATAGACTAGACTATAGACTAGACTATAGACTAGACTATAGACTAGACTATAGACTAGACTAATAGACTAGACTATAGACTAGACTATAGACTAGACTATAGACTAGACTATAGACTAGACTATAGACTAGACTATAGACTAGACTATAGACTAGACTATGACTAGACTATAGACTAGACTATAGACTAGACTATAGACTAGACTATAGACTAGACTATAGACTAGGACTTATAGACTAGACTATAGCTAGACTATAGACTAGAACTATAGACTAGACTATAGACTAGACTATAGACTAGACTATAGACTAGACTATAGACTAGACTATAGACTAGACTATAGACTAGACTAGACTAGACTAGACTATAGACTAGACTATAGACTAGACTAATAGACTAGATATAGACTAGACTATAGACTAGACTATAGACTAGACTATAGACTAGACTATAGACTAGACTATAGACTAGACTATAGACTAGACTATAGACTAGACTATAGACTAGACTATAGACTAGACTATAGACTAGACTATAGACTAGACTATAGACTAGACTATAATAGACTAGACTATAGACTAGACTATAGACTAGACTATAGACTAGACTATAGACTAGACTATAGACTACACTATAGACTAGACTATAGACTAGACTATAGACTAGACTATAGACTAGACTATAGACTAGGCTATAGACTAGACTATAGACTAGACTATAGACTAGACTATAGACTAGACTATAGACTAGACTATAGACTAGACTATAGACTAGACTATAGACTAGACTATAGACTAGACTATAGACTAGACTATAGACAAAACTATAGACTAGACTATAGACTAGACTATAGACTAGTCTATAGAGTAGACTATAGAATAGACTATAGACTTAACTACAGACTAGACTATATACTAGAGTATGGACTGACTATCGACTATAATATAGACTGGACTATAGACTAGACTATAGACTAGACTATAGACTGGACTATAGACTAGACTATAGACTGGACTATAGACTAGACTATAGACTAGACTATAGACTAGACTATAGACTAGACTATAGACTAGACTATAGACTAGACTATAGACTAGACTATAGACTAGACTATAGACTAGACTATAGACTAGACTATAGACTAGATTATAGACTAGACTATAGACTAGACTATAGGCTAGACTATAGAATAGACTATAGACTAGACTATAGACTAGACTATAGAGTAGACTATAGACTCGACTATAGACTTAACTACAGCCTAGACTATATACTAGACTATGGACTAGACTATATACTAAACTAGACTGGACTATAGACTAGACTATAGACTGGACTATAGACTAGACCATAGACTAGACTATAGACTAGACTATAGACTAGACTATAGACTAGACTATAGACTAGACTATAGACTAGACTATAGACTAGACTATAGACTAGACTATAGACTAGACTATAGACTAGACTATAGACTAGACAATAGACTATAGACTAGACTATAGACTAGACTATAGACTAGACTATAGACTAGACTATAGACTAGACTATAGACTAGACTATAGACTAGACTATAGACTAGACTATAGACTAGACTATAGACTAGACTATAGACTAGACTATAGACTAGACTATAGACTAGACTATAGACTAGACTATAGACTAGACTATAGACTAGACTATAGACTAGACTATAGACTAGTCTATAGACTAGACTATAGACTAGACTATAGACTAGACTATAGACTAGACTATAGACTAGACTATAGACTAGACAATAGACTATAGACTAGACTATAGACTAGACTATAGACTAGACTATAGACTAGACTATAGACTAGACTATAGACTAGACTATAGACTAGACTATAGACTAGACTATAGACTAGACTATAGACTAGACTATTGACTAGACTATATACTAGACTATAGACTAGACTATAGACTAGGTTATAGACTAGGTTATAGACTAGACTAATGACTCGACTATAGACTGAACTACAGACTAGACTATATACTAGACTATGGACTGACTATCGACTAGACTATTAGACCATAGACTAGACCATAGACTAGACTATAGACTAGACTACAGACTAGACTAATCTATAGTCTAGTCGATAGTCTAGTCTATAGTCTAGTCTATAGCCTAGTCTATAGTCTAGTCTATAGTCTAGTCTATAGTCTACTCTATAGTCTAGTATATAGTCTAGTCTATAGTCTAGTCTATAGTCTAGTCTATAGTCTAGTCTATAGTCTACTCTATAGTCTAGTCTATAGTCTAGTCTATGGTCTAGTTTATAGTCTAGTCCATAGTCTAGTCTATAGGCTAGTCTATATTCTGGTCTATAGATGATGAGTAAGAAATATTTGGTTAAATAAATTTTCAAACTACTATTTGCCTCAATTATACAATAAATTGTTTTTTAACACTAAATTAATTTCAATTCCCTTTTTCGTTGTACATAGTAACAAATACTCTTTTCTTTTTGATGATCAATTATAAATTAATTTCTCTTAAATCGATATACACTTTTTAAATTAAATTTTCTCTTTATAGTTAAAAACCCTACAGACTGCCCATGAACGTGAACTCGCAACATGTCACGAAACCGTACGCATTTTACAACAGCGTCTCAACGAACGTGATGAACAGTTTGCTTTGCAAAAACGTCGTAAAGTACCCGTTGACTATTACGCCTTAAAAGCCAAGGTATGTATAAAATCAAATAAAAAGACTCAAAAATCGAGGGATTCATAAAGTGATAGCAAAACTAACGGTATTAGTAGTAAAACAGACGCATAAATGAACACAAGACAAAACATTGATATCTGATAATAACCATTGAACACAATTTTGATATGCTAACAACATACAGAGTCATGTCCATTGGACATACTATTACTTAGTATTAAATATTATTTTATTGTATAATTTTGTACATTTCTTTTCGTTTTTTTTTTTTTTTGTGGGTTTTTTTAATGAGCGTGCAGCAAGTGTGTGGCTAGCTACCGCAAGTCCAGCTAGCTAGTCTTCTTTTATGCAATATAATTGTAACAATTTTTATGATTTTAATTTACAAATTAATGTACGCATTGCATAATGTATCATTATCGCCATCATCATTATTATTTCAATCATTATCTGAATGTTACACTTTTTATTTTTTAATGATTTGTATACAAAATATTTTTATTTTTTTCATTTTAAAGAAAAAGTAATGAGAAAGAAATTTAATGAATGAATAAATGATGAGTGAGTGAGTGAATGTATAAAAAATGTAACGATGAAATGGTGTTAAATAAAAATGTTTATTATTTTCATCACACATATGTACGTGTTCACATAAATAAAGTTATAAATTTAATTATCTTCTAAATTATGTAATAAATGACCGTTAAACCTTTTCTTTCTTTTTGTTTTGTGTTTTATTATTTTTAATAGTTTTATTATTTAACCGCTAATATGTATGTAGTTTAACTATTAACAAATTCCATTACATTTTTAATTTGTTTATATTATAAATTGTTTATGACCAATTGTTGGTCATTGAAAATATTTTTATTTAAAATTTGTTTAAAACCGTAAATTTTAATACTAATTTGTTTTGAATACCGAATTGACGTTAATGACCGTTACAGTTTGTTTAATAAGTGTAGTTGTAAAAAAAAGTTGTTTAAATCCTGGGATTCTCCTAACGAAGTGCTATTCGGTGTATGATCGCTACTGGGCTGTTTATGAGCTGAAATAAAAGAAATGAACATGTATAACCCAGATCAATAATTTTTATAATCCCGCCCGCTTAATCCTAATCTAGTTTTAAAATTTCTGCACCACATCAGCTTTTCGAGATATCGTGTCAGAAAGAGGTCCCCGATTTTAATCGTGGACCTAATGATATGATTATATCGTAACACTAAAACCAGATCGACATTGTTAAACGGCTGTTTAATACTACACTGATGACACTAAAGAATAGAGTCTATAGGTTCCTATAACAACTGATAATCCGAAGACAAATTATACCACAAGTTCTGAATTGGATATCGATTAAAAAGGAGACCTAATCGACATTTCAGTATTTTTTCAGTCTAAATAGATTTGAAGAATCGAAGTGAGGATATCTAACTAACTAACTAACTAACTAACTAACTAACTAACTAACTAACTAACTAACTAACTAACTAACTAACTAACTAACTAACTAACTAACTAACTAACTAACTAACTAACTAACTAACTAACTAACTAACTAACTAACTAACTAACTAACTAACTAACTAACTAACTAACTAACTAACTAACTAACTAACTAACTAACTAACTCACTAACTAACTAACTAACTAACTAACAAACTAACTAACTAACTAACTAACTAACTAACTAACTAACTAACTAACTAAGTAACTATCTATCTATCTATCTATCTATCTATCTATCTATCTATACATCTATCTATTTATCTATCTATCTATTTATTTATCTATCTATCTATCTATCTATCTATCTATCTATCCATCTATCTATCTATCTATCTATCTATCTATCTATCTATCTATCTATCTATCTATCTATCTATCTATCTATCTATCTATCTATCTATCTATCTATCTATCTATCTATCTATCTATCTATCTATCTATCTATCTATCTATCTATCTATCTATCTTATCTATCTATCTATCTATCTATCTATCTATCTATCTATCTATCTATCTATCTATCTATCTATCTATCTATCTATCTATCTATCTATCTATCTATCTATCTATCTATCTATCTATCTATCTATCTATCTATCTATCTATCTATCTATCTATCTATCTATCTATCTATCTATCTATCTATCTATCTATCTATCTATCTATCTATCTATCTATCTATCTATCTATCTATCTATCTATCATCTATCTATCTATCTATCTATCTATCTATCTATCTATCTATCTATCTATCTATCTATCTATCTATCTATCTATCTATCTATCTATCTTATCTATCTATCTATCTATCTATCTATCTATCTATCTATCTATCTATCTATCTATCATCTATCTATCTATCTATCTATCTATCTATCTATCTATCTATCTATCTATCTATCTATCTATCTATCTATCTATCTATCTATCTATCTATCTATCTATCTATCTATCTATCTATCTATCTATCTATCTATCTATCTATCTATCTATCTATCTATCTATCTATCTATCTATCTATCTATCTATCTATCTATCTATCTATCTATCTATCTATCTATCTATCTATCTATCTATCTATCGATCTATCTATCTATCTATCTATCTATCTATCTATCTATCTATCTATCTATCTATCTATCTATCTATCTATCTATCTATCTATCTATCTATCTATCTATCTATCTATCTATCTATCTATCTATCTATCTATCTATCTATCTATCAGCTTGTGGTCCTCTATCCAATGTATTTGTGGACGGATCATGTTAAAGTTCAAAACACAATTTTTAGGTCTGAAATTCATTGCAGAACCCCCATGACTATTTTATATTATAGTTTTATCAACAACTTGAAATTATTATATTCAGATCTAGTTCTGTTAAAGCATTAAGTGTTTCTTAGGACTTGAAAAGGATGTACAACTGGTTCTGTTAACACTTAGGTGATGGACCCGGTTCTTCAACTGGTTTTAAAATAGATTTTTAGTTTGGACTGTTTGTTTTTTATAAATGTTGATTTTTCGAATATCTAATTTTTTGCTTAATAAAAACCGGTTTCGAATATTTTTATTTGCTTTGTAAGCAACGGATACTTTAGTTATATTTTGTAGTAAATTCTAACACAGCCCGACATAATGTCCCACTTTCTTCCTAACTTTTTTTACATTAAATAAATAATGGCAATCAGACGATTGGACCTAAATCTTTTAAAATGTTAAAAGTCAGTTCGGGTCATGTTTTATCAAACAACTAAAAATTTAAATGTTAGCTGCTTTATGTAAAAACGATTATTAAAGATAACAATGTTTTACTTTTTTCTTTTAATAATAATTAAATGTTTCCTTTTACAGGTTTCTTCGCTAGAAAGGCGACACACTGAACGTGAAGAACGTTTGCACATGCTGGTCGAGGCCCTCAGTAAAGGGCGTCTTAATGGCGCTTTAGATGATCTACTGGGCGATAATAATAATCAATGAGATTCATTGGAAAATCAACAATTAACACAGCGTTGATTAATAGAAATAATTTAAAATATTTTTGCATATGATTTAAAACCAAAATTGTATTTCTATGATTTATGGGGATAAAATAAACATTATTAAGCTGGGTTTTTGCTAGCAGTGTTAGATAAAAGAATTGGAAAATGCTGACCAATTAAAGCTGAAAAAAGATTAAGTTTTAACCAAAAATAAAATAAAATTGTTACAAACACAAATATTTTGTATTAAAATAAGTAAAAATAGAACATAAATTAACAAATAATAAAAATTATGGACTGAAAATTTAAACATAAATTATACTTTAAACCTTGTTTAAGAAAAATTTTAACAGTATTATTTAAAGAAAAGAGAAAATTTGGGAAAAAAAAGAATTTAAATTTAAATAAAAGGCTATTTAAACTATTGGCTATAAATTAAAAGACAAATTTAATAAATGAAATATTTAAAAGTAATAATAAAATAGAAACGCAACCGTTCAGTTTCCTTCCAAAGGTTTTAAAACAAAATTACAGTAAAACTCAAAAATTTAAATAATACAATAAACAAATAAGAATTTTTAAGAAAAACCGAATTAAAAAAAAATATTTACAAAAATTAGAATTATTATTGAGTTCAGGTTTAATACATAATAATAAACAGTAGTTTAGCGTTTAGAAATTAAAAATATATCTCTACTTCAACAAGTGTTTCAGAAAAAAAAACCAAAATCAAGATCCCTTTACAATATTTAGAATTCTTTGCTCTAAAAGGAATTAATTTTCTTTCCATTTGGAAACAAAATTAATTGAATATGGAGTAAAAAGTAAACTTAATCTCTAGTAATACTTGTGCTAACAATAAGTTAAATATTTAAAATTTCAAAAAAAGTTTGTGTTCGTTTTAGAATTTACTTAATAAATAATAGAAATATTTAAATATACTATTAGCTGTTTTCCTAAATTGGTATTAAACAAATCTTACTCAAGTAGTGTTTGAATATGTATTATCCTTTTTCTAATAAATAACATATTTCTATATAGTGTCAATTTAATTATACAACTATTACTCAAAATTTATTGGATTATAGCAAAAAAATACTTTAAATTTAAAATTGTTTAGACAAACCCTTTAAATACTAATATATAATTTAATCTATTATTTAAGTTTTATTAGAAAAGTAATTATTTAAGTGTCCCCTCCCATCTAAACTCTGTTATTGTAAACCAACTAACTTCTATTGTATTTTAACCCTACAAGAGCAAAAGACATTTTACAGCAAAAGCTCAAAATAATTTGCGATATATTTTTTAAAAACTTTTAGTTTTTATTTTCTAATTATTAACAAACAAAAACTCTCGTATTTATAGATACTTTAGCGTTAAGACTTAATATGTTTTCTGTATTAATTAAACCAAAAACATAAAAACAATTTTAAATAAAAATAAAAAAACAAAAACTTTTTAAAAGTTAAAAATAACAAATTCTGTTTCATTAAACCCCGTTAACTCCACCTCCGGTTATCGTTTAACCGGTAGATAGTCTTCCGGTTAAAATCATTTTTGTATGAAAACCTTACGATAAAATATAAAATACATTGTGGCAATGGGAGTTAATAGAGTAATCTTCCAAAACGAAAGAAAATCTAAACAGTTCATAATGAATTAAAAATCTTTCAAAGAATATTCAATCAAATCGAAACGAAGTGAAAAATTTGTAAAAAAAATCAATCAAATCAAAACGATTATAGAGTAGACTATGAACTACACTATAGACTAGACTGTAGAATAGACTATAGACTAGACTATGGATTGGACTATTAACTAGACTATAGACTGGATTACAGACTAGACTATAGACTAAACTAAAAACTAGACTATAGACTAGACTATGGATTGGATTATAGATTATACTATATACTGGACTACAGACTAGACTATAGACTAGACTGTAGACTAGACTGTAGACGAGACTATAGACTAGACTATAGACTAGACTATAGACTAGACTATAGACTAGACTATAGACTAGACTATAGACTAGACTATAGACTAGACTATAGACTAGACTATAGACTAGACTATAGACTAGACTATACTATAGACTAGACTATAGACTAGACTATAGACTAGACTATAGACTAGACTAGACTAGACTATAGACTAGACTATAGACTAGACTATAGACTAGACTATAGACTAGACTATAGACTAGACTATAGACTAGACTATAGACTAGACTATAGACTAGACTAGACTATAGACTAGACTATAGACTAGACTTAGACTACTATAGACTAGACTATAGACTAGACTATAGACTAGACTATAAGAAATAGACTTAGACAGACTATAGACTATACTATAGACTATACTATATGACTAGACTATAGACTAGACTATAGACTAGACTATAGACTAGACTATAGACTAGACTATAGACTAGACTATTAGACTAGACTAGACTAGACTAGACCATTATCTAGACCAAACTATAGACTAGTGTATGAACTAGACTATGGCTAGACTATAGACCTAAACAATAGACAAGACTATAAACTAAACTATAGACTAAACTAGATTCTAGACTAGACTATAGACTAGATTCTAGACTAGACTATGTATATACTGGACTATAAACTATACTATGGACTAACATATGAACTAGACTATCGACTATACTATACACTAGACTATATACTAGATTATAGATTAGGCTTTAGACTAGACTATAGATTTCCATCTAATATAAAAACATATTTTAAATTATTTTCAATATTTCTTTATTTCAAACGTTTAATCAACAATATGTATGTGCTTTTCTTTTAATAATTTTGTAATATAATTCATTAAAACCTTTAAAGATTTTTTTAAGAGATTTTATAATTTTGTTAAAGGAAAAAAAAAAACAATTCGAATCCCAAACAACAGCAACATGACACATATAAATTTTGCTTAATTTCACTTAGTTTTTTTTGGTTTTTTTCTAATATTCATGCAGTAGTTTTGATAATTAATTACATATTCTTTTTTTTATAATAAACAAATAGAGAACAATAAATTTTAGTTTTAATTAATTTTCATAGAGGATTATTTTTTAGTATATTAATATGTTTAATATGTTTGTATTAAATTAGCAACAAGTAGTATATTTTAGGTATAGAAATATTTTTATAAATTGTACTGAATTTTATATTATTTTTTTATTTTAAACATACATATAATAATACATATTATGATTATATTGTTTATATTAAACCATATTATTTTAATTATTTCTGGTTAACGTTATTGTGATTCACATTTTCATCTAGTAGGGTAGTCAAAAATTTATTAAATTAAAATCAATTTCATTACATACGAGAACATAAGGTGTTGATATATAAAGTGTTGAAATATAAAACTATTTAATGGATGGTTTTATTCTGATAATAGGCTTTAATTATAGCAAAAATATTTAGTTTTAAACTTAAGAACTTAAAATAAAACTCCCAAAGGAGATTGATATCTGAAAAAAGAAAAGAGAAAAATGTGAGACAAATAATTTTAAAAGCCTAGTCTATAGTCTATTCTTTAGTCTTATATATAGTCTAATCTATAGTCTAGTCTATAGTTTAGACTGTAGTGTAGTCTATTTTTTAACCTATAGCTTAGTCTTAAGTTTAGTCTCTTCTACCGTTTAGTATATAATGTAGTCTATAGATTATTATAGTCTATAGACTAGTCTATATTTTAGTCTACAGTCGTGTCTACAGTTTAGTCTTTAGACTAGACTATATAATAGTAAATCAATTTATAAGTTCTTTAAGAACTTATTCTTACCTTGTAGGACTACATCTTGCCCTTTTTTAATAAGTATTTTGTTTAAATTTAAAAAGATTTGAAAACTCTGGCGTCTCAAAGTATTTCTGCAAATCTTTTAGAACTTCACAGTTATTATACAACTTTTATACTGTTCACATTGTTCAACAAATCATTGCTATTTATACTTAATTCTTATCAATCTAACCGATCATTTATATATCCTTTTTTTAATATATTGTTATATTTATTACCACTATGGTGTTTATTAACTTGGTGTGGTGTTACTCAATAACCAATTTGTATTTTACGCCTAAATGCGTTTCCTTTGTATCCTTTTCCATTTTAATATGTGAAGACTATACAGTTTAAAATGTTGTTGAAGAAAAAAAAAAACAAACACTCCATCAATTTGATTTAATTTTAACTATTGTTAAGTTAGTCTTATCTAAACGGTACACTTATGTTCCTATTACTTCACATTCTATTATTTTCAATTATTTTTCGATTACCAAATGCAACTGTGTCACAAAAGTAATTTTAAATACTTTTCTATTTGATTAGTTGGAAAGAATTTTCCGCTTGGTTAAATACAAGTGGAGGAGTTTGGAGTTTCTCAAAGATTGTTGCAGACATGGTACAATTGACGTCATAGTTATAATTTACGGCGTATATTCCGTAATAAATAATGTACAATAGTAAATTTCCCTTCATCTGGTTTATCAATTTATTACTCAAACTTCTCAACTGATAAATCAGAAATAATAAATATAATTATCCTATTCCATGATTAATTTTATAGACTAGTGCTGTAATATTCTACTACTTTTGATTACTCAATACTACTCAATACTTTTCGTTTGGGTACTCAATACTACTCGATACTTTTAACGGTTTTATTTTAAATTAAAAACGAGGAATTTTTCCTTTTTTTAAGTAAAGTTAGACCAGACATCACACCTCTTTTGAGACATTTTATTTTTTTAGATAGCGTCGATAAATATTTGTAACTTTTTAACTATTATTGCAGTGTTTAAATTATTTTTACATTGATTTGATATTGCTAAGAGTTGCATTTCTAATAATGATATGGTCTATATTAGATTTTAGAGCTGTATTTTTTCACATCATAGCCGTTAAATTTAAATAAGTTAAATCCAAATACAAGTCTGAAAGTATTGAGTAACTACTTTTCAGTATTGAGTACCCAAAAAATAGGGCAAATACTCGATACTCGATACCCACTACTCAATACTTTAACAGCACTATTATAGACTATTCTACATTCTAGTCTATATAGTCTAGTCTATAGTCTAGTCTATAGTCTAGTCTATAGTCTAGTCTATAGTCTAGTCTATAGTCTAGTCTATAGTCTAGTCTATAGTCTAGTCTATAGTCTAGTCTATAGTCTAGTCTATAGTCTAGTCTAGAGTCTAGTCTATAGTCTAGTCTATAGTCTAGTCTATAGTCTAGTCTATAGTCTAGTCTATAGTCTAGTCTATAGTCTAGTCTATAGTCTAGTCTATAGTCTAGTCTATAGTCTAGTCTATAGTCTAGTCTATAGTCTGTCTATAGTCTATCGATGTCTAGTCTATAGTCTAGTCTATAGTCTAGTCTATAGTCTAGTCTATATCTAGTCTATAGTCTAGTCTATAGTTCTAGTCTATAGTCTAGTCTATAGTCTAGTCTATAGTCTAGTCTATAGTCTAGTCTATAGTCTAGTCTATAGTCTAGTCTATAGTCTAGTCTATAGTCTAGTCTACTAGTATAGTCTAGTCTATAGTCTAGTCTATAGTCTAGTCTATAGTCTAGTCTATAGTCTAGTCTATAGTCTAGTCTATAGTCTAGTCTATAGTCTAGTCTATAGTCTAGTCTATAGTCTAGTCTATAGTCTAGTCTATAGTCCTAGTCTATAGTCCTAGTCTATAGTCTAGTCTATAGTCTAGTCTATAGTCTAGTCTAGTCTATAGTCTAGTCTATAGTCTAGTCTAGTCTAGTCTAGTCTAGTCTATGTCTAGTCTATAGTCTAGTCTATAGTCTAGTCTATAGTCTAGTCTATAGTCTAGTCTATAGTCTAGTCTATAGTCTAGTCTATAGTCTAGTCTATAGTCTAGTCTAGTCTATAGTCTAGTCTATAGTCTAGTCTATAGTCTAGTCTATAGTCTAGTCTAGTCTATAGTCTAGTCTAGTCTATAGTCTAGTCTATAGTCTAGTCTATAGTCTAGTCTATAGTCTAGTCTATAGTCTAGTCTATAGTCTATCTAGTCTATAGTCTAGTCTATAGTCTAGTCTATAGTCTAGTCTATAGTCTAGTCTATAGTCTAGTCTATAGTCTAGTCTATAGTCTAGTCTATAGTCTAGTCTATAGTCTAGTCTATAGTCTAGTCTATAGTCTAGTCTATAGTCTAGTCTATAGTCTAGTCTATAGTCTAGTCTATAGTCTAGTCTATAGTCTAGTCTATAGTCTAGTCTATAGTCTAGCCATAGTCTAGTCTATAGTCTAGTCTATAGTCTATAGTCTAGTCTATAGTCTAGTCTATAGTCTAGTCTATAGTCTAGTCTATAGTCTAGCCTATAGTCTAGTCTATAGTCTAGTCTATAGTCTAGTCTATAGTCTAGTCTATAGTCTAGTCTATAGTCTAGTCTATAGTCTAGTCTATAGTCTAGTCTATAGTCTAGTCTATAGTCTAGTCTATAGTCTAGTCTATAGTCTAGTCTATAGTCTAGTCTATAGTCTAGTCTATAGTCTAGTCTATAGTCTAGTCTATAGTCTAGTCTATAGTCTAGTCTATAGTCTAGTCTATAGTCTAGTCTATAGTCTAGTCTATAGTCTAGTCTATAGTCTAGTCTATAGTCTAGTCTATAGTCTAGTCTATAGTCTAGTCTATAGTCTAGTCTATAGTCTAGTCTATAGTCTAGTCTATAGTCTAGTCTATAGTCTAGTCTATAGTCTAGTCTATAGTCTAGTCTATAGTCTAGTCTATAGTCTAGTCTATAGTCTAGTCTATAGTCTAGTCTATAGTCTAGTCTATAGTCTAGTCTATAGTCTAGTCTATAGTCTAGTCTATAGTCTAGTCTATAGTCTAGTCTATAGTCTAGTCTATAGTCTAGTCTATAGTCTAGTCTATAGTCTAGTCTATAGTCTAGTCTATAGTCTAGTCTATAGTCTAGTCTATAGTCTAGTCTATAGTCTAGTCTATAGTCGTCTATAGTCTATCTATAGTCTAGTCTATAGTCTAGTCTATAGTCTAGTCTATAGTCTAGTCTATAGTCTAGTCTATAGTCTAGTCTATAGTCTAGTCTATAGTCTAGTCTATAGTCTAGTCTATAGTCTAGTCTATAGTCTAGTCTATAGTCTAGTCTATAGTCTAGTCTATAGTCTAGTCTATAGTCTATAGTCTATAGTCTAGTCTAGTCTATAGTCTAGTCTATAGTCTAGTCTATAGTCTAGTCTATAGTCTAGTCTATAGTCTAGTCTATAGTCTAGTCTATAGTCTAGTCTATAGTCTAGTCTATAGTCTAGTCTATAGTCTAGTCTAGTCTAGTCATAGTCTAGTCCTAGTCTATAGTCTAGTCTATAGTCTGCTATAGACTAGTCTATAGTCTAGTATAGTCTATAGTCTAGTATAGTCTATAGTCTAGTATAGTCTATAGTCTAGTATAGTCTATAGTCTAGTATAGTCTATAGTCTAGTATAGTCTATAGTCTAGTATAGTCTATAGTCTAGTATAGTCTATAGTCTAGTATAGTCTATAGTCTAGTATAGTCTATAGTCTAGTATAGTCTATAGTCTAGTATAGTCTATAGTCTAGTAAAGAGTCTAGTCTATAGTCTAGTACAGTCAATAGTCTAGTCTATACTCCAGTCTAGTCTATACTCTAGTCTAGTCTATACTCTAGTCTATACAATAGTCTAGTCTATACTCTAGTCTAGTCTATACTCAAGTCTAGTCTATACTCTAGTCTAGTCTAGTCTATAGTCTAGTCAAATCTAGTCTAAGTATAGTCTAGTCAAGTCTATAATCTAGTCTAAGTATAGTCTAGTCAAGTCTATAATCTAGTCTAAGTATAGTCTAGTCAAGTCTATAATCTAGTCTTGTCTATAGTTTAGTCTGCAGTATACATAGTCTCAAATTTAACCTATAGTCTAGTATATAGTCTAATCTATGTGCTAAGTAGTATGTAGTCTAGTATATAGTTCTGATTATAACTAGTCTAGTGTATTAACACTTTATAAGCAACTACTATATTACAATGACGTCATTGACTTCCTTAACAGAAAGAAGTTTCATTCATGAAAATTCTCATTCATACCGATTATTTCTAATCCTTCTCCTTTTTAAGTTTACCACATTTAAAAATGCCTTTCTGTGCACTGGTGCACATGTGCGATAAGAAAATTAAATCAATCATTTATTAATTTAAAGTTCAATGAAAAGGAAATATTAAAACATCTTTCTGCAAGTAGAGGAAAATTGGATATAAAAACCGCAAGAAAATCGCTAAGAACCACAGTCGATACAAAGACTTCGAACGAAAACATTACGAAAGTAAAAGTAACGTAACATAAACTGTAAAAAGTTAAAAATCCGCAACCAAGAATATCTTCTGGAAAATACATATAAAAACTACTTAAATTCTAATTTAAAAAATCTCTAATCACTTAAATCAAAGCAATCACTCGAGTGACAATGTTATTTGGTTTTTGGCAGTTGAAAACAACTGTCTATGTTCTATTTTTGGCATCGTGTGTAGGCCAAGAACTATTTCGTGCTTGTAATCGTGATTACTGTTATGAACGTTCTGTCGAGAGCCGCAGAGAAGATCCAAATGAGTTAAGAGTGAGGTATCGCATACGCGGTGAAAATTTTGAAAGGAAAAGATCCCTAGAACTTGTAAGAGATCCAAATCGTATTGACATTGGTAGTAGTCGCATCAATGCTCTTGATGAACGTAGCGAAAATAGTCGTCGAGAAGATACAATTCTAAACGAACTTCGTCAACACCAGAGCATACGTGATGAGGAACGTCGTGAAACTTTAAGAAGATTAGATGACCGAGATCTAATCCGACGCTCAAATGAGAACCGAGATCAACGCCAGACTTTACGACAATTAAATGATGAAACTAATCGAGAGCGAATAGAACGTCATATAAGGCGTGAAGAGAGTCGCGAGATCAAACGGGATAATATGGAAAATCGAAACAACTTACGAAGATTCAACGAACTTGAAGCTCGATATGATGAGAACAAACGTTCAGAAAACAACCGTGAACAGGGTCTTAAAACTGTAAGAAAACTTAATGATCGTGACCTCAACAGACGTTCAGAAGTTGCACTCGATTCCCAAAGGGCACGTGAATCAGTTGAACGTCGTGATGAAAATAAACGAGAACGTATAGAACACCATGAAATCTCAAGACGTTCTAATGAACGCGAAGTACAACGGGAAATTAGTAGAAATTCAGTAGACAATCATGAAGTACGAGATACTGAACGAGACATTAGAAGCCGTGTTGATGAACGTCAAGATTCCCTAAGGCGACTTGATGACCGTGAATCTCAACGTGCTATTAACAGTCGTTTAGACGACACTCGCTTATACGATGAACGTCTTTCCCAAAGAAAGCGGGAATCAACAGGACGTCTAGATGATAACAAACGCGAACGAGTAGAGCGTGATGAAACATTTAGACGGCTCGATAACCGACAATTCCAGCTTGATGTTAGCAGACATACGGAAGATGAACAACGCCAAATTGACAACCGTGAAACCCACCATAAAGTTGAGAAACAAGCAGAAGATACTCGACAGTCTCAACGTTCAGACGAGCGTCTCTCCAAAAGGGAACGTGAGTTCACGCAACGTCGTGATGAAAATAAACGGGAACATGAAGAACGCAATGAATTTTCAAGACGAATAAATGAGCGTGAAGACCAACGAGATAGTGATAGACTTTCAGAAGACAACCATGAACGAGTTGATCGTGAAGAATCTGTAAGACGACTTGATGACCGCAGACAAGTTCAGCTTGATATTAGCAGACGTACAGAAGAGAACCATGAACAACGTCAAATTGACAATCGTGAAATCCATCGTAATGTTGAAAGACGAGCAGATAATACTCTCCAGTCTCGACGTATGGATGAACGTCTCTCCCAAAAGAAACGTGAGTTAACACAACGTCATGATGAAAATAAACAGGAACGTGAACGCCACGAAATTTCAAGACGACTTACAGAGCGTGAAAATCAACAAGAGTTTAATAAGCATTTAGAAAACAACAATGAGGAACGAAAAGCTCAACGTGACGCTAGAACGCGTGCAGATGCTACTCGTGAATCTCTTAGAATTAATGAACGACTATCTGAAAGGGAACATGAAGCAACACCACGTCGTGATGAAAATGAACGAGATGAAACTTTAAGACGTCTACGTCGTGATGTAAATAAACGTGAACGAGTTGAAACAATAAGACTACCGGATGACCGTCATGTCCAAAGAGATGTTAGCACAAGTTTAGTAGACAATCGTGAAGAACGTCGAATTGACAATCGCAGAACTTATCGTGATGTTGACAGACGTTCAGATGTTAATATTGATTCTCAAAGAGAACGTGTAGAACGACTTGAACAGCAAGAAACTATAAGATTCGATGATCGCCAAGTACAACAAAACGCTATCTCACGTTCGGAACACAGCCGTGAAGTACGACGTGATGTTAACCGCCGCTCAGATGATATTCGCCAGTCTCGACGTGTAGATATTCAGAAACCTTCACAAAGAGAACGGGAATCAGTACAACGTCGTGATGTAAATAAAAAGGAAAGAGAAACTTTGATGCGACTTGATGACCGTGAAGATGAACGTAGTACCACCAGACGTTTAGAAGTCTCCCGTGAATCTCGACGTAATAGTGAGGTACGTGAACATAGGGAACAAAGTGATATTAGCAGACATATTGATAATACCCGTGATTATCGAGAAGAACGGGAAGTAAGACAGAATGAACATGAATCTTTGAGGCGTGAATCACTACGACAAGAAAACAGACGTTCAGTAGATAATCGCGAGGAACGTCAAGAAGATTTAAAACAATTAGATGAACGTGTTGATATTAGGCATTCTGATAATACTCCTGACTTTGAACGTTTAATTGAAACTAGACGTGAACGACAAGAACGTGGAGAAACTTTAAAACGTCTTGATGATCGTCAAGCTTATCGTGACATCGGTAGGAGCTCGGAAGATATCCGCGAAGACCGTCGAGAATCTTTAAGACAATTGGATGAACGTATATACGACAGAAGACTAGATGGCCGTCAATCCAAGAGTGGAACCAGTAGACGCTTGGAAGAAAACCGCGAAGATCAACGTGATATCAACAGAATTTCGAAAGACAATCGTGAAGATCGCCAAACCGAAAGAGCTGTAAGCATGCGTTTAAATGTTATTCGTAAATCTGAACGTGTCTCTCAAAGCGAAAAAGAACAATTAGAAACCCGCGAAACCTTAAACCGTTTCGATGATCGTCAAACCGAGCGTGATGTTACAAGACGTTCAGAACACATCAGTAAAGATCATCAATTTAGACGAGAAGCTCAACGTGAAGTTATTAGGCATTCAGATGATGATGCCCGTGATCGTCGAGAACGATTTGAACGTTATGAAACTTTGAGACGATTTGATGACGGTGAAGCTGAACGAAAAGTAAATCTACGTTTACAGGAACGACTTTCCCAAAGAGTACGAGAAGCTGAACGTCAAAACGAAGAGCAAGAACATAGAAGAGAACGTGTGGAACGGCAGGAGCAAAAATCTCGTGTTTTCCAAATGGAATTTGAAAATAGACGAAACGATGTTGTAGAACCTAATACCGAGCGTACATTTATACTCAAACCAAATAATGATAATAACAATCAACGTAATTACCGCTATATCAAAGATGACTATGCTGTGAAATCAACTGTTTTCCTCAAAAATAGCTACTTGTTCTTGGGTCAAGGTGTGATCTTGGCATTTGTAATTATGAAAACTCTTAATGACAAAGATAATTTAAAGTAAGTACAATTTATTGAAATTAATTTTTCTATTTAACAATTATTAATATTTAATTTATTTTTACAGAAGCCAATTACCCCAAAAACTACGTACGGCTGTTGATATGATAGGTTTTTAAGGAAATGGAATATGTACAATTGAAATTCTACTCAACTTGGCAATGGAACAAATACTGTATATAATATATTAGAGAAATCAAAGACAAAAAAATGTGTACCTAAAAGCAAGATTATTTTATTTAAATAAATATATTATGAAAAACTTATATTAATTTAATCCCCATACAAATAATTTTGTGAGCAACGAGTTTAACTAATGCTAAAATATGTTGTATTGTAAAATACTATTATCGAAATACATACTATAAATATTTATATAAATGTATACTAAATATGTAAAAATATTGTTATTAAAATAATTAAAAATATGCAAGAAATATAAAGTTGAGTTTAATTTAATTTCGAAATTTGTAAAATCCTTCTAAAAGGAAACTAAATGGAAACTAAATGTGATTGAAATATATATCCTTTCCCTGTCGAATATAAGACTATAAAGAATAGAGTTTTAGTGATAAATATACCCTGTGTCCAGTGGTCATTAACACTTATTTTATGATTCCACTCAAGAATCAAATTTTTTAATCCTTATGATGCCAACAAATTTCGTTTATGAGAAAATGGATTTTTAGTTTTTCACTCAAAGAATGAATTTTTAAATATGTATGACCTACATTGTAGGACTTGACAAATTTTTGTGTTTTTTCTTGGGTCTTCAGTTTTCGAGAAATATTCTTTTTTTTTTTTTTTTTGTAAAACAAATATTTTGATTTAAGCACATAAAATTTAAAATTTAGAGAATTTCACTGTTAACATTATAAACCAAAGTATAACTTTGTTATAAACATTAAAGTTAATGGAAAATTATAATATTCTATACTTGTCTGCAGTTTCTAGGAAAAATGTATTTTCATGTTTTCAATACTTTCCCGAGCAAAATATTTTTAAATTTGTTTTTACTACTGTTGGAAAACTTATAAATATTTGAATTGAAATGAAACGCGAAATGAACTAGTTCGTTCATAAACTACTTAGCAAATACCCTGCAAAAATATCGAAATACTTCCAAAAAAATTACTTTTATCACTACTTCAAGTGTAATGTGCAATGATTTGCAAGCGAAAATAATTATATTTTTTTCAAAACTGAATATTTATAACAACTTCCAAAAAAGAACTTAAAAATTATTACTTGAGAAAGATTTTAGAAGTAGTGAATTTGGAATCAAATAAAAAGGTCCTCCCTCCTACGACAAACCTATGTCTTTTACAGTACCTCCATTGAGTAAATTTTGTGCAATTTATATGGATGCTAATTATATGCAATTTAAACACGATTGTAATACTTTTCGATCAAGTTAAATCCGCAAATAATTTGTGAGAACATTTTTTGAAAATGCTGCTATAGCTTCTAAGTAAGTTATGAACCGATGGTGAAAAAATCTTGAAATAGAATTTTTGTATACAAAATTAATATTTGTGCCAATTTTTTTATGTACCACTATTTGCTAATGAGTTATGTGCCTTTAAGTGTTTTTCTGAAAGGTGCCTTGTATGGGAGCTATGATCAATTATGGACGGATAGGAAAAGAATTATACAGTAATATTTCCGTGTATATGAGCAATACTTGTGCCAAACTTTATATGTGCGTTTAAGTGATTTTCTGTAGGAGACCTTGTATGGGAGCTATGACCAGTTATGGACCGATGGGAAAAAATTTCACAGTAATATTTAGTAATGAGTTATGCGCGTTTAAGTGATTTTCGGGAGGGAACCTTGTATGGGAGCTATGGCCAATTATGGACCGATGCAGAAAATTTTTTCTCTAAATGAATTCCATTGACATAAGATATTAATTTGTAAAATGTTGTGAAGATATCAACATTCCGGCGGAAGTTATTAACAAAAAACTCATTTTCCGTGAATATGTACTTTTGTATGGGAGGTATATGAAATTGTGGAACGATTCTGGCAATTTTCAGCAGGAGTCAAGCTCTTATGTAGAAACGAATATATGATGATTTTCATGGAATTTCATTAATTTATTTAGTATCATTTTTACGTGAGCGTGGTTTAAACAGACAGACAGACGGACATATCTAAATCGACTCAGAATTTGATAAGGACCCAGAATATATATACTTTGTTGGGTCTCAGATAAATATTTCTTGGTGTTACACACGGATTGACAAAATTATATATACCCTCTATCACCACTGATGGTGGTGGAGGGTATAAAAAACTAATCAAGAATGAGAAAAACAACGTAACGAGAGCATGCCTGATAGAATTATTGAACATTCGGGGTGTTCTGAAAACAGATTTCAACATACATACGGAAAGACAGTTAGGATAGTGACGTCAATATACCTATAAACGAAGAGAACGCCAAAAAACTTAAGGATGGCTTGATGATCGTTAAGTACAACGTGTGATTACAGATTGCACTACACTATTAAACTTACTGAAAAATGGATTATAGTCTAGTCTATAGTCTGGACTATAGTCTAGTCTATAGTCTGGACTATAGTCTAGTATATAGTCTGGACTATAGTCTAGTCCATAGTCTGGACTATAGTCTAGTCTATAGTCTGGACTATAGTCTAGTCTATAGTCTGGACTATAGTCTAGTCTATAGTCTGGACTATATTCTAGTCTATAGTCTAGTCTATAGTCTGGACTATATTCTAGGCTATAGTATGGACTATAGTCTAGTCTATAGTCTGGACTATAGTCTAGTCTATAGTGTGGACTATAGTGTGGACTATAGTCTAGTCTATAGTGTGGACTATAGTCTAGTCTATAGTCTGGACTATAGTCTAGTCTATAGTCTGGACTATAGTCTAGTCTAGTCTAGTCTAGTCTAGTCTACAGTCTGGACTATAGTCTAGTCTATAGTCTGGACTATAGTCTAGTCTATAGTCTAGTCTATAGTCTGGACTATAGTCTAGTCTATAGTCTGGACTATAGTCTAGCCTATAGTCTGGAATATAGTTTAGTCTATAGTCTAGTCTATAGTCTAGTCTATAGTCTAGTCTATAGTCTAGTCTATAGTATAGTCTATAGTCTAGTCTATAGTATAGTCTATAGTCTAGTCTACAGTCAGGACTATAGTCTAGTCTATAGTCAGGACTATAGTCTAGTCTATAGTCTGGACTATAGTCTAGTCTATAGTCTGGACTATAGTCTTGTCTATAGTCTGGACTCTAGTCATGTCTATAGTCTGCACTATAGTCTAGTATATAGTCTGGAATCGTATGTCTAACTTCTTTTCTCGATTAATGTTTCATTGGGGAAACAATCTATTTAAAATAAAGAAAATGTTAATTACACAGGCCAACAAATTTTGAGAAAAATCGAAACTCAGAGATCAATGTATAACTTTCTGCATTACATCAGGATATTAAGCTTTGCATTAATATGTACATATAGAAGTAGAAAGTTAGCAGATAGCACTTTCAGACATTTATATATAAAGGAGTCATCGAGCTGTAATAACGTCTCAAAACGGGATTTTTTCAAACTATATGAAACTATATTTCTAAAACTTGATGTGGTGGATTATTCTGCTCTTAGATTCGGATTCATTTACTTAAGAACTAATTTCATATTACCACCATATTTTACCTTTTATTTTAGTGTTATCCCTACTTATCTATTATTAAATTTAAAATATTTCCTTTTTATTACAAAACCCTACATAATGACGTCATAAGCTTTTTATAATACAGCAATTTCATTCATAAAACTTTTCATTGATAAATAGAAAATAATTTGCTTCTAATACTCCTACAACTTTTAGTACATATGCGGTGGTGCACATGTGCGATAAGACAATTAAATCAATCATTTATTAATTTAAAGTTCAATGAAAAGGAAATATTAAAACTTCCTTTTGCAAAGCAGAGGAAAATTGAGTATAAAAACCGCAAGAAAACGGCTAAGAACCACAGTCAATACAAAGACTTCGAACGAAAGGATTACCAAAGTGATACAAACGCAATATAAATTATTAAGAGTTTAAAACAAGAATATTTTACAGTCGATAAACCTTAAATTTCTAACAAAAAATCTGTATTAAATTGAATAGAAAATAATTAGTGTGACAATGTTATTTGGTTCTTGGCAGTTGAAAACAATTGTCTATGTTCTATTTTTGGCTTCGTGTGTAGGTCAGGAACTATTTCGCGCTTGTGAACGTGATTATTGTTATGAACGTTCTGTCGAGAGCCGCAAAGAAGATCCAAATGATTTAAGAAAGTGGTACCGTGATAGCGGTGAAAGCAAAAGATCTCTAGAACTCGTAAGAGATGCAAATCGTATTGACATTAATGCTCTTGATGAACGTAGTGAGGATAATCGTCGAATAGATCAAAATCTAAATGAACTCCGTCAACGCCAGAGCAAAAGTTATGTACGTCGTGAAACTTTAAGGCGATTAGATGACCGAGATCTTATCAGGCGCTCAAATGAGAACCGCGATGAAACTAAACAAGAACGAACAGAACGTTTTGATAATTTAAGACGTTCTAAAAATAACCGTGAAGAAGATCGTGAAAGCAAACAGGATAATATGGAAAATCGAAACAACTTACGACGATTGAACAAACTTGAAGCTCGATATGATGCAAACGAACGTTCTGAAAATAACCGTGAAAAACGTCTTGAAACTCTAAGAAAATTTAATGAACGTGAAGATCAACGTGATATCAACAGACGCTCAGAAGTTACGCGCGATACCCAAAGGAAACATGAATCAACTCAACGTTGTGATGAAAATAAACGAGAACGTTTAGAACGCTATGAAATCTCAAGAACTAGAAGACATTCAGGGGACAATCGTGCTGAAGGTGACATTAGAAGGTATGTTGGTGAACGTCAATATTCACCAAAGCGTCTTGATGAATCTCAACGTGATATTACCCGTTTAGACGACACTCGTTTTTCCGACGAACGTCTAGATGATAATAAACGCGCACTAGTAGAGCGTGATGAATCATTAAGACGACTCGATATCCGACAATACCAACTTGGTGTTACCAGACGTACGGAAGATAGCGATGAACAACGTCAAATTGACAATCGTGAAACCCATCATAATGTTGACAGACAAGTTGATGATACTCGTCAGTCTCGGCGTATAGACGAACGTTTATCCCAAAAGGAACATGAATTAACACTACAACGTGATGGAAGTAAACGGGAGCGTGAAGAGCGCCATGAACTTTTAAGACGACTAAATGAGCGTGAAGCCCTACGAGAAAGTAATAGGCTTTCAGAAAATAACCATGAACGAGTAGATCGTGATGAATCCTTAAGACGACATGATGACCGCAGACAGGTTTTGCTTGATGTTAGCAGACAGATCCATGAACAACGTCAAATTGACAATCGTGAAACCCATCATTCTGTTGCTAGGCTAGCAGATAATACTCTTCAGTCTCAACGCATAGATAAACGTGCCTCCCAAAGGAAACTTGAGTTATCACAACGTCGTGATGAAAACAAACTGGAACGTGAAGAACGCAATGAATTGTCAAGACGACTAAATGAGCGTGACACCCACCGAGAAATTAGCAGATATTTAAAAGACAACAATGAAGAACGGGAAGATCAACGTGACATTAGAAGTCGTGGAGATGCTACTCACGAATCTCGTAGAACTTATAGTGATGTTGACAGACATTCAGATGTAAATATTGATTCTCAAAGGGAACGTATGGAACGCAGATTTGATGATCGTCAGCAACAGCGTAATGTTATCAGACGTGATGTACAACGTGATGTTAACCGACATTCATATGATATTCGTCAGTCTCGAAGAATGGTTGAAAAGCAAAGAGAACGGCAATCAGCACAACGTCGTGATGTAAATAAAAGTGAACATGTAGAACGTTACGAAACTTTGAGGCAACTTGATGACCGTGAAGAAAAACACGGTACCACCAGACGCTTAAAAGACACCCGTGAATCTCGACGATATAATGAGGAACTTTCACAGAAGGAACAAAGTGATATTAACAGACATATTGATGATACATATGATAATCAACGTATAGAATCACGATATTCTCGAGAAGAACGGGAAGCAAGGCAAGATCGTCGCCAAAATGAACAAGAACTAGTAAAAAGTCATGAATTTTTGGTGAGTGAATCATTACAAAAAGAAAATAGACATTTTGTAGACAATCGCGCAGAACGTCAAGAAACTTTAAGACAATTAAATGAACGTGTTAGGTCAGATACTCCTAAACGTCTACTCCAAACTAGACGTGAACAACAAGAAACTTTAAGACGACTTGATGAGCGTCAAGCTTATCGTGACATCAGCAGGAGCTCGGAAGCTAACCGCGAAGACCGTCAAGAATCTTTAAGACAATTGGATGAACAATGTATAGATGATAAAAGACGTGAAAGCAGTAGACGCTTGGAAGCCAACCGCGAAGATCAACGTTATATCAACAGAATTTCGAAAGACAATCGTGAAGAACGTCATGAAACTTTATCACGATTTGATGATCGTCCAACCGAACGAGCTGTAAGCATGCGTTTAAATGTTATTCGTAAATCTGAACGTGTCTCACAAAAGGAACGAGAACAAATCGAAACCCGCGAAACCTTCAACAGATTTGATAATCGTCAAACCGAGCGTGAAGTTACCAGACGTTCAAAAGACATCGGTGAAGATCGTCAATTTAGACGAGAAGCTCAACGTGATATTAGGCATTCAGATAATGATACCCGTGATTCTCCACGCACAGATAAACGACTTTCTCTAAACGAACGTGATTCAGTATTTCGTCGTGAAGACAACAATCGAGAACGAGTTGAAGCTCAACGAGAAGTAAATCGACGCTTACAGGAACGACTTTCCCAAAGAGAACGAGAAGCTGAACGTCAAAGCGAAGAGCGAGAGCATAGAAGAGAACGTGTGGAACGGCAAGAACAAAAATTTCGTGTTTTCCAAATGGAATTTGAAAATAGACGAAATGATGTTGTAGAACCTAATACCGAGAGTACATTTATACTCAAACCAAATAATGATAATAACAATCTACGTAATTACCGCTATATCGAAGATGACTATACTGTGAAACCAACTGTTTTGCTCAAAAAGGTTTACTTGTTCTTGGGTCAAGGTATGATCTTGGCATTTGTAATTATGAAAACTCTTAATGGCAAAGATGATTTAAAGTAAGTATAATTTATTGAAATCAATTGCTTATTTAACAATTACAAATATTTAATTTATTTTTACAGAAACCAATTACCCCAAAAACTACGTACGGCTGTTGATATGATAAGTTTCTAAGGAAATTATTGGAAAATGTACAATTGAAATTTTACTCAACTTGGCAATGGAACAAATACTGTATATAATATATATTAGAGAAATCAAAGATATAAAACGTGTACCTAAAAGCAAGATTATTTTATTTATTTATTATGAAAAACTTATAAATTTAATCCACATACAAATAATTTTGTGAGCAACGAGTTTAACTAATGCAAAAATAGTGTAAAATATTATTATCGAAATATTTATATATAAATGTATACTAATAAATATGTAAAAATATTGTTATATTAAAATAATTAAAAATATGCAAGAAATATAAAGCTGAGTTTGATTCGTTACTTTTTTTTGTAATTTTTAAATTTTTTATAACTTCAAAACGGAAAAATTTCCATGGAAACTAGGGGTGATTGAAAATAAATATACTTTCCCGATCAAATATACATAATAATATAAAGAATTTAAATGTACTTATGCTTAAACAAATCTCATCGAGTTGATCTGAGGAAAAGCGTCTTCAGTTTATGAAAAAAATGTAATTATAGGTTTTCACACAAAGAACAATCTTTTGAATCTTTAGTTACCGAGAAAAATTATTTTTTTGGGTGGAAAACAAATGTTTTGAAATAAGAGAGAGAGAGTAAGTTAGTTTGCACATATATCAAATCCGCAGGAATACACATAATCCTCTATCCGACATCCGGTTTACCAAACTAGAACACTAACCTACCAGTGACCACACCGTCAGTTAACATTAGAAAAGTATTTGTTATAAATCAGAAATTTGCATAAGGAAGATTTCAGTTCCCATAAAAATGGTTTATGTTGAAATTCATATATCTAGTCGTATTTTAATGTCAGTAATGAGCGTTAAAGGTGCCCTTGCACGGGAGTGGGGTCAATTATGGACCGATCCTCCTAAAATTTAGAATGATTTTTGTTCATACAAATATTGTTTATATCGCATTTTTGAGCCAGTAATGAGCGTTTCTAAAGAGGACCTTAAATGGGGGGTAGAGTCAATTATAGACCGATACTCATATATATATATAAAGAGGACATTTTTGCTCATATAAAACTTATTTATGTGAAATTTTATCGTTGTAGTCGTATTTCAGCGTTACAGACAGTAATGAGCGTTACAGTATTTTTCTGAAGGTGGGTTGGGTCAATTTTAGACCGATCCCCATAAAATTTGATAAAGGATTTTTGACTAGCACAAAACTTGTTTATGTAGAATTTCACAGCTGTAATTGCATTTTTGACTCAGTACTTAAAGTTAAAATCATATTCTGAAGGGGACCTTATAAGGGGGTATGGTCAATTATAGACAGATCCTCATAAAATTTAGTAGGGAGGTTTTGGCTCATACGAAGTTTTATCGCTGTACTCGCAGTTTTATGCTAGTAATTAGCGTTAAAGTCATTTTCTGAAGGGGACCTCATATGGGGGGTAGGGTCAATTAAGGACCGATCCTTGTAAAATTTGATAGAGAGCTTTTTACTCACACAAAACTTGTTAATGTAAAATTTCACCGCTGTACTCGCATTTTTGAGTCGGTAATGAGCGTTAAAGTAATTTTCTGAAGGGGACCTTATATTTAAAAAAATAATTTTAGTTCATATAAAACTTTTTTATGTCGAATTTCATTGCTATGTATGCTACTTAAGGTCAGATATGAACATTAAAGTCATTTTCTGAAGGGGATCTTATAAGGAGGGTAGGGTCAATTATGGACCGATCCTTATAAAATTTTACGAAGAGATTTAGGTTCCCCTAAAACATGTTTATGGCGAATTTCCACCGCTTTAGATGTTTCTTTTAGACAGCTATAAGCGTTAAAGTAATTTTTTTTGAAGGGAACCTTATATGGAGTGTAGGGACAATTATGGACCGATCCTTGCAAAAAATTTTACGAAGAGATTTAAACATGTTTATACCAAATTTCACCGCTATAGATGCTTCTTTTAGCCAGTTATGAGCGATAAAGTCATTTTCTGAAGGGGGCCTTATATGGGGGCTAGGCGAAATCGTGGACCGATATTGCCCATTTTCAATACCAAACAAACTGCATCAAGTATGCAAAATTTCAGCTGTCTATCTACTTCCGTTCGGACTCTATCGTGTTTTCAACAGACAGACCGACAAACGCAGACAGACCCAGAATATATATACTTTTATGGGTTTTCGACGAATATTTCAATTTATTACAAACGGAGTGACAAAAACAAATCTTTTTTGATGGTGGGTATAAAAAGTGGGACACTTCTATAAAATTTCAGCCGCAAATTTAAAGTATCGTTTACTGTTATTGTAATTGCAATATAATCTTATAAGATTGATAAAATTGTATTAAAGACAAAATGTTATCAAATGACGAGTGGCTTTTATTCGTGCTTTAGTTAAACCTTATGAGCCTCTTAAGCTTAATTCTTTTCCATAATTCGCAACAGCGGCTCACAACTAAAATCGATCAAATACTTAAGAGTTCAAACATTACATTCCTGAAATGTTCGGAGAGAATTTCTCCATCAGATCTGGATATCAAGCTTTACGTTAAGATATCTTGATAATATATCTAAAAGAAGGAATAAGATATAGTAGAGGTTAAATCTTGGACTTTCATATGGCATAACAAAATCTATAAATAAAGCTATCGTAGCGCTATTACATACTATGTGTCTCAAAAACGAAAATTTCTCAAGCTTTGTGACAAGATACATATCTCGAAAACTTGATGAGATGGAGAATTTCTATTTCCTGATTTGAAATCCGTGTTTTGGGTAACCTCTAGCATAACATAGTTCGATCTCGGAATTAAAAATTGTTATGTAATTGTTCTAAAATAAACATACATGAAATAGTTACAATATGGATATTAAAATAGATATCCCTCTAAGATGACTTTAGAAAAAATTTTCACTTTATTGTAATGCCTAATAATGTTTCATAAAATATGAATTTAACTTATGTTATTTTTGCTAGATGAACAAAGATTTTCTTTTTACTATAAAATTTTACAGAATGACGTCATAAACGTTTTATAATACTGCAATTTCATTCATAAAATTTCATTGATAAATAGAAAATAATTTGCTTCTAATACTCCTACAACTTTTTAGTACATATGCGGTGGTGCACATGTGCGATAAGACAATTAAATCAATCATTTATTAATTTAAAGTTCAATGAAAAGGAAATATTAAAACTTTCTTTTGCAAAGCAGAGAAAAATTGGGTATAAAAGCCGCAAGAAAAATGACTAAGAACCACAGTCAATACAAAGACTTCGAACGAAAGGATTACCAAAGTGGTATAACCGCAATATAAATAAAAAAGAGTTTTAAGCAAGACTACTGTACAGAAGATAAATCTTAAATTTCCAACAAAAACTCTGTAATCAATTGAAAAGAAAAATAAGTCGAGTCACAATGTTATTTGGTCTTGGCAGTTGAAAACAACTATCTATGTTCTATTTTTGGCTTCGGTGTGTAGGTCAGGAACTATTTCGTGCTGGTGATCGTGATTATTGTTTTGAACGTTCTGTCGAGAGCCGCAAAGAAGGTCTAAATGTGGATAATCGTCGAGAAGATCTAACTCTAAATGAACTCCGTCAACGCCAGAGCAAATGTGGTGTACGTCGTGAAACTTTAAGGCGATTAGATGACCGAGATCTGATCAGACACTCAAATGAGAACCGCGATCGTCCTCAGACTTTACGAAAATTTAATGAACCACGATGAAACTAAACGTGAACGAACAGAACGTTATGAAAATTTAAGTCGTTCTGAAAATAACCGTGAAGAAACTCGTGAAAGCAAACAGAATAATATGGAAAATCGAAACAAATTACGACGATTTGAACGAACTTGAAGCTCAATATGATGCAAACAAACGGTCAGAAAACAACCGTGAAAAGCGTCTTGAACGTGAAGATCAACGTGACCTCAACAGACGTTCAGTAGTTTCTCGCGATTCCCAAAGGAAACATGAACCAAGTCAACGTCGTGATGAAAATAACGAGAACGTATAGAACGCCATGAATATCTCAAGAATTAGCAGACATTCAGAGGACAATCATAAAGTACTTTATGCTGAACGTGACATTAGAAGCCGTGTTGAATGAACGTCAAGATTCCCAAAGGCGGACTTGATGACCGTGAATCTCAACGTGATGTTAACAGCAATTTAGGCGACACTCGTTTTTTCAGATGAACGTCTTTCCCAAAGAAAATGGAAATCAATAGAACGTTTAGATAATAATAAACGCGAAGATACTCGACAGTCTCGGCGTATACATCAGCGTCTCTCCAAAAGGGAACGTGAGTTCACACAACGTCGTGATGAAATAAACGGGAGCGTGAAGAACGTCATGAACTTTTAAGACGACTAAATGATCGTGAAGCTCAACGAGAAAGTAATAGGCTTTCAGAAGAAAACCATGAACGAGTAGATCGAGTTGAATCTTTAAGACGAATTGATGACCGCAGACAAGTTCAGCTTGATATTAGCAGACGTACAGAAGAGAACCATGGACAACGTCAAATTGACAATCGTGAAACCCATCGTAATGTTGAAAGACGAGCAGATAATACTTTTCAGTCTCGACGTATAGATGAACGTCTCTCCCAAAGGAAACGTGAGTTAACACAACGTCGTGATGATAATAAACTGGAACGGAAAGAACGCCATGAAATATCAAGACGGCTTAGTGAGCGTGAAATCCAACGAGAGTTTAACAGACATTTAGAAGACAACAATGAGGAACGAAAAGCTCAGCGTGATGCTAGAAGGCGTGCAGATGATACTCGTGAATCTCTTAGAATTGATGAAGGACTCTCTGAAAGGGAACGTGAAGCAACACAACGTCGTGATGAAAATAAACGAGAACGTGATGAACGTGTAGAACGACATGAACGGCAAGAAACTATAAGATTTAATGATCGTCAATTAGAACAAAATAGCCGTGAAGTACAACGTGATGTTAACCGACGTTCAGATGATATTCACCAGTCTCGACGTAAAGATATTCAGAAACCTTCACAAAGAGAACGGGAATCAAGCCAACGTCGTGATGTAAATAAAAGAGAACGAGTAGAACGTTACGAAACTTTGAGGCGACTTGATGAGCGTGAAGATGAACGTAGTACCACCAGACGTTTAGAAGACTCTCGTGAATCTCGACGTAATAGTAAGGTACATGAACAGAGGGAACAAAGTGATATTAGCAGACATATTGATAATACCCATGATTCTCGAGAAGAACGGGAAGTAAGACAGAATCGTCGCCAAAATGAAAACGAATCTTTGAAGCGTGAATCACTACGACAAGAAAACAGACGTTTAGTAGATAATCGCAAGGAACGTCAAGAAGATTTAAAACAATTAGATGTACGTGTTGATATTAGGCATTCTGATAGTACTCCTGAATTTGAAGGCTTAATTGAAACTAGACGTGAACGACAAGAACGTGGAGAAACTTTAAGACGAATTGATGATCGTGAAGCTTATCGTGACTTCCGCAGAATATCAGAAGACAAACGCGAAGACCGTCGAGAATCTTTAAAACAATTGGATGAACAACGTACGGATGATAGAAGACCTGAAAGCAGTAGACGTTTGGATGACAAACGCGAAGATCAACGTGATATCAACAGAATTTCGAAAGACAATCGTGAAGAACGTCATGAAACTTTAACACGATTTGATGATCGTCAAACCGAACGAGCTGTAAGCATGCGTTTAAATGCTATTCTTAAATCTGAACGTGTCTCACAAAAGGAACGAGAAGAAATAGAAACCCGCGAAACCTTAAACCGATTTGATGATCGTCAATCCGAGCGTGAAGTTACCAGACGTTCAAAAGACATCAGCGAAGATCGTCAATTTAGACAAGAAGCTCAACGTGAAGTTATTAGGCATTCAGAGGATGACACCCGTGATTCTCCGCGCACTGATAAACGTCTTTCTCTAAACGAACGAGAACGAGTTGAAAGTTATGAAACTTTGAAACGATTTGATGACCATGAAACTGAACGAAAAGTAAATCTACGTTTACAGGAACGACTTTCCCAAAGAGAACGAGAAATGGGACGTCAAAACGAAGAGCAAGAACATAGAGGAGAACGTGTGTTACGGCAAGAACAAAATTCTAGTGTTTTCCAAATGGAATTTGAAAATAGACGAAACAATGTTTTAGAACCTAATACCGAGCGTACATTTATACTCAAACCAAATAATGATAATAACAATCAACGTAATTACCGCTATATCGAAGATGACTATGCTGTGAAACCAACTGTTTTCCTCAAAAATAGCTACTTGTTCTTGGGTCAAGGTATGATCTTGGCATTTGTAATTATGAAAACTCTTAATGACAAAGATAATTTAAAGTAAGTACAATTTAATGAAATTAATTGCTTATTTAACAATTACTGATATTTCATTTATTTTTGCAGAAACCAATTACCCCAAAAACTACGTGCGGCTGTTGATATGATAGGTTTTTAAGGAAATGGAATATGTACAATTGAAATTCTACTCAACTTGGCAATGGAACAAATACTGTATATAATATATTAGAGAAATCAAAGACAAAAAATGTGTACCTAAAAGCAAGATTATTTTATTTAAATAAATAATTATGAAAAACTTATAAATTTAATCCCCATACAAATAATTTTGTGAGCAACGAGTTTAACTAATGCAAAAAGATGTTGTATTGTATAATATTATATAAACTAATATAAACGAGTAATAGTATTGTTATTAAAATAATAAAAATATGCAAAAAATGTAATGCTGATTCAGATTTTCTAATTTTTCATGAAAAATGCATCATTTGTCTATAACAAGAGTCGCTTTAAAGATCGATTCATCATCGAACAGTCTAAAGGGCACGACCTAGAATCATGACATTTTGACGTTTTTTTGGCTATATAGATCTACTAAGAAGAAATTTTCGCAAATTACAACTTTTAGAAATAAAGTATATGACACTTTTTGGAAGTTAAAATTTTTAAAGGGCTAAAATGTTAAAAAAACACTATAGGAGTGAACTCGTTGGTACTTTATCGTTCTTTAACTGATATTTTTGAATCGATTATAATATTGAACATATAGAGTAAATTCATTTTGTAATGCTTTTTCGTTTTACAACTTTTTCTTTTGAATCTTCATTAATTAAACGTAGAAACATAGAACTAAATACGCAGCATCCTGATCCAAATCTAGAAAAGGGGACTTTATGGTACTTTATCGTCTTTCAACTGGTATTTTTTGAATTTATTGTAATAAAATACGTACTGACTGTTAAACACAATATGGTGAATCCGAAAATAGAACTTACTTGTTATAACATTAGTTATTTCTTTAAAAATGTTAACAAAACATACCTTTTGACACTCTTAATTCTTTTAACTTCAATATATTTAAATTTTCCAAATATAAATTGTAAAAAAATTCCACAAAAGCTATTATCTATCCTTTCCAAGTTATATATTTTTTAACTGTAATTAAAACCAGAAAATCAAACAAAATTTTGTTTCAGTCTATTTAAAACAAAACATATACTAACCTCACTTTAGAGTTTGTTTATAAAACATATCCCAGCAATAAACAATTGTTATTATTATATTCACATTGTAGTATTTAAACGATCCTGTATTTCCTTTTTAGTCTTAGGACCCACATTAGCTATAGGTGAAGGTTCTTTTGAGGTATTCTCTTCACCCGAAGTATTTTTACTTTTATTTAAGGCGCGCTCAGCTTTCATAGCGTCATATTCCTTGAGTTCAGCTAATTTTAAAGGAATCGATTGTAATTCACGTTTGCGCATCTATAAGGAAATAAAAAATTTTAAATTATCTTAAGAATGTTTCAATAATTAATAAATTATTTACCTTTTCGGTAAATTTGCAGTGAATTTATAAATATCAAAAAGCCGGAAAGCTTTCAGCAGAAATCCAAGTCGTTGCAAAATTCTCGACGGCGGTGACTGAGCAAAAATAATTCGTTGGCGGCTAACAGCTGGCTTAAGACAATGTTGTTACAATTTAAATTTTCACGGACAAAAATTTGAAAAATATCGAAATTTTAGGAAATACATTGCATAATTATGTATCGAAACAATATTTAAGCTTAATAGCAATTATAACTAATTTTTTGCACAGTCATTTATTAAAAGTCTTTGATAGTTGAAGTCAGTTTTTTTTTCTCACAAATACATGATCCTG